ATTACAACTAAGTTCTAGAATCTAGAAATTTTTATTTCTGAATTGAATTTTTGTTAGCGATAAGAATATTACTCACTGTTGTCTACTTCACAATTACTTTAGTTGGTACGGTGGGATAATTATTATTGCGCCAGTTCAAACGGTTTCAGTCTCTTTAATATTCTACTTTGATCTGTCAACACCTTTTTTGAACTGTCAGCATTTGGATGTTTTTTTAGCTCTAGTTTTATGTTTTGATAAGTGAATTTTGATTTCTTCAGTTATCTATTGTACTACCAAATCACAGTGTATAACGTCGTTTCGAACGTACCATGAAGCTGTCATGATCTTCAGCTATCTATTCTTACTGTTGTAGTACTTGTATTTACTGAAAATTGTTTTCTTTGTACAACTTCAAAGTTGGATGCGATATATCCATATAAGTTTGATTATCTGATTATATATCAATAGTTCGTTATTGGTATTAAGTTTAGAATACTTGCCAATTAGCGAATCGAGTCGTGTCAGTCGAATCGAGTGTTTTTTTTTTTTTTTGCGAATTTAAGTGTTCCTTAATATTTGCAGGTAGACTAAAAATTGTTTTTTTTCATTTAAATTTCGCATTTAAATACGAAATTCATTTAAATGTAAAATAAATTTTTGGGGAAAAAAGATAGTGTGCATATACCCGTATTCGACTGTATTATGAATTTTAAAAACGATTTGCTGTTGTTTTTTTTTGCATAAGTGACGCTTATAAAAAATTATAAACAAAATTTTTATTTTTGCTTTTTATTTTTTTTTTTTAATTTTTAGATATTAAGTTTTTTATGTTTGTTATCTTAATGCTGAGTGTTCCAAAAATTCGCTTATATTTTTTTCCATAATCATTTTAAAAAATCTCATTTTTCATTCGTATAATTTTTAAGATTTTACAAAATTCTAAAGGGGGCGCGCGTCTTATAATAGATTTACAATTATTTTTAAGAAAGAATTAATTATTTTTTATTCTACTTTTAAGAAATAGTTTTTAGCATATTTGGTTTCTGTTTGACTTGAAAATATTTTAAGTATGGTATTTTTTCTTTTTAATATTTTACAGTTTCCAGAAAAATAAATTGAAAGTGATAATAAAAATTTAATTAATTTTAAATTAATTTTAGAGAAATTTAGTAAAAAAAAAACAAAAATTAAGTGAATTTTTTTTTTTAAATTTGTAAGTTGTAAGGAGTTTTATTTATTTTTTTTTTTTTGTCAAACAAAATTTAATTAAAATGTGAACTTTTTGGAAGAAATTTGAAATAATAATTAAAATAATTAACTTTGTTTTCATGTGTTTTTAAAATGAAAATCTATTATAAATTAAAAATTTTATTAAAATTCTAATTTTAATTTGAAAATAATTTAGTTCTGTTTCAAATTTAGCTGGAAAAAAAAATAAATTGAATAAAAGGAAAAAGTTTAATTAAAATTTAAATTTTTTTTTTTTTTTTTTTAATATACAAGTAAAAAATCCAGTCTCAATATTCTTATAATCAAAAAAATATTGTTCTCTATACATATATATATATATATATTTTGTTATTCACAATAATAATTGTTCTATTTTTAAAATAGCAAAATCAACAAAAAAAAAATTTTTTTAAAAGAAAATATTAATTTTATTAATAAAGTCTAATAGAACAAAAAAATTTTCAATATTTAATTTAAAAATTAAAAAACAAAAGAAAAAAATACTTTTTAATTAAAAAAAAAAAAAAAAAAGCATCCTGGATGAAAGTGGATGACTGTAAAGCAAATCTCTTGATCATTAGATATTGGTATGATTTTTAAATAAAAACAAAAAAAAAAAAAAATATTAAATTTCGGTTTAAAATAAAATTTTATACAAAAAAATAAAAAAAATATTAAAAATAATTAATTATTAAAAATAAATAAATAAATTTTAAAAATATTGTTAATAAAATTAACATATTTATTTTATTAACAGAAGAGTTAATAAAAAAAATATGACAATAATTTTTCTCTTTAATTTTAAAACATTAACCTTTTTATTCTTACTCTTTTCTCAATATTAAAAAAAAATTTTCTTCTTGGTTTTAATTCGAGTGTTTTTTTTTCTCAATTTTTTCGACAATATTATGGGCTCTTGAATTCGTTCAAAATATTTTTTTTTTTTTTTTAGCAATAGGCACCTTTATATGACCCACAACCGCAGGAAAATGTTTAATATTTGTTTAATAAACCATATGAGCTTCAGTTCAATACAATATTCTAATTTGATTATAAAATTTTTAATTTTTATTAAATATTTGCCGTAAATTTACTAATTTTAATAATATTAGTTGAGAAAATATACTAAATTTTAATTATTTATAATTTTAGAAAAGGGGGGTTTTTTTCTTTTAATTCCAAATGAGAATATTTCGGTCAATTTTCAATTTCAATGGCCAAATTTGAATGAATAAATTGAATACATTTAAACAAACTAAATAAAATATGAAAATATCAATTTATATATGTATAAATTTATCCGTATTTAAAGCATAGTGTGAGTAATAAAAAAAATTAGATTATAATAAAAAAAAATATTTAAATCATGGATGTCAAAAGTGCGGCCCGTGGGCCGCATGCGGCCATTTTCTTATTTTGGTGCGGCCCTCTAAAACGAATTGTTAAAATATTATTATGGTTTTATTATGATAATCTACTTGCAATTCTACGATTGGCTACTACAAATATGCAACCCAATATTTTAAGACTTGTTCAACAGAAGCAGTGTCACTCAGCTCCCAGTACTTCTAATAGAAAATAAATAAACGTTTATACACCTTAAAAATTGAATTAATTGTTTTATTTTTTGTGGCCCTTTTGTCATACAGAATATTGGAAATTGGCCCATAGTTTCAAAAGTCTTGACATCCATGATTTAAATAAATTAAAATTTAATTTTGAAAAAACTATTCACTACTAAGATTATAAGCCTATTATAGCCTAACGAATGTAATTATTGAGGTGATAAAAAAAAAATTACTATCAATTCGTATGGAAAGTTTTACAGAAATCGTAAAAGTAATGATTTTGATTATTTAAATTCACATTATGTAACACATTCATATATCACGTCGATACGTCTACTGGAAGTAGAATTTAGTCATGATATAATATCACTTAATGCGTTATTTGCGTATATGTACGTAATTTAAATTATCAATCAGTTTTGTTTTGTTAAAATTTAATTTTATATTTTTTTTTTTATTGAAAATCAAATTTTTTATTATTTTTATTGATTTTATTGATTTAATAATTTTTCCAATTTTTCTCGTATATATTTTTATTCTTTTTTTTTGTTTAATATAGTTATTTTTATAAATTTTATTTTTAGAAATAATAATCATTTTAATATTTAAATTTTAATTTTCTATTGCTATACACAATAATATTTGAGAAATATGCAGAAATTAAATGAATTTTTTCGTTTCGTTTTTTTCGATTTAATTGAAAATATTGCGTGTAATTTTAAAATCAATATAGTTTATTCTATATTTATTTTTTACATATTAATTATATAGTGTTCATTAAAAGAAATAATTGAATAGGACATTTTCCTTTTTTCAAAATAATTCTTTGAAAATTACTTACTTTTTTTGTAAAATCAATAATTTTTAAATAAACAATGAAAATTTTTTTTGTAATAGTTGCGACTTGGATATTTTGAACGGATTCTTGGGTACTAGAGAGTGTCTATTTTCTATTGCTTACTTATTTTAAACTATCCATTTTTTTTTCTCTTTATTTAAATTTAATAAATTTTATTTATTTATTTTTTTTTTCTCTTATAAAGCATTTTCTGATTTTTTTTGTATTAATTTTTTTTTTTATATAATAAAATATCAACCTACAAATTTTAATGCCAAAATTTTTTAGTACAAAATAATATTTTAATAAAAATAAAATAAAAAAAAAAAATATTTATTCTTTTTACGTACTTCATAAAAGCATTTTGTTTTTTTTAGAAATAAAAATGCTTATAAAATAAAACAGACAAGAAAGGAATAAAAAAGAAAAAAAAAACAAACATAGAAAATTATTATTTTTATTTTTTTAATAATATTAATTTTTTTTTTTTCAAAATTATTAAATTTCAAATTTTTCGATGCATATTTAATGTTTCTAATCAAATAAGAGGGTTTTGGTTTGTGCACGGTTTGTGCTGAACGTTCTACATTACAATGTAAATTTCAAAGTCGCAGTGGGAAAAATTTAATAACTAAGTTTTTCTATGTTCGAAAATAATAATAATTTAGGTTTAGCAATATCCAAATATTTCTTCCAATTCAATGCAAAACAAAAAAAAATTTTAGACAAGATTTAAAAACTTAAACTTATTTTAATAACATTTCAATATATCATGCGGACTAAATGTGTAAATGTGTAGAATAGCGTAAGTACGCTACATTTCTTTATTACAGATTGAATTTTCGAATTTATTCGCATTTTATTGCAGCGACTAGTCTTTGAACAATTTATATTTTCAGTGTATGCAACGTTGAATTTTCAAACATGTTATAAATTAGACATATTCTAGAATTGAATTAACGAAAACTTCTTAATTGTTATTATATAATATTTTAAAATTAAATTTATTAATGGAAAATTGAGGTTTAGGCAAAATGCAATGGTAAATTGTTTAATAATTTTGTATTTTGATTTCATTCTTAATTTCAATTACAAATTTACAAACTTGCTTTCCTATTTAATTATTTAATTTCTGGCATTTTAATTGATGCTTAAAGAAAATCATATAAAGATTAGCCGAAATATTAAAAAAATATTAATTTGAATTTTCTATGTTAAATTTTCTAATAAATTATTACAAATTTTAAATGATTATTTCTAATATTAAATATTCACTAAATGTTTTTTCTTAGTCAATAAATAATATAATAATTTTTGTTTGTTTTTACTTTTTTTTTTTGTTGTCGTTCCCTTTTCCGAAATTTCTACAAATCAAAATTTAGCTGAAAACCAAAGCTTGAAAGAAGTACAAGCTCAGTTACAACAACAATGCGCTGATGCCCAAAGACGTGAAAGAATACTCATGAGAAGATTTACAAATAAAGAACAAGAATTTCAAGATTATGTTGTGAGTACCATAATTTTAAAATTTCAATTTTATTTATTTTCCAATCTAAAAAAAAAAAAAATAAAATTATTTAAAAAATTTTTGTTTTTAGAGCCAAATTGCTGAATATAAAGCAGCTCTGGCACCAGGACCAGCTGCATTACGAACAGCATTACTTGATCCAGCTGTTAATTTATTATTTGAAAAGTTGAAAAAAGAACTTCAAGCAACAAAAGCAAAATTAGAAGAAACTCAAAATGAATTGTCTGCCTGGAAATTTACTCCAGATTCAAATACTGGAAAGAGACTTATGGCCAAATGTAGATTATTATATCAAGTAATTTAAAATCTTAACAATTTTTAGTATCATTAATATTTATGGTTTTTTTTTGTAATTTTTCTTTAAGGAAAATGAAGAGCTTGGAAAAATGACATCGAATGGACGGTTGGCTAAACTTGAAGGTGAACTTGCCATGCAAAAAAGTTTTAGTGAAGAAGTTAAAAAGTCGCAATCTGGTTGGTATTCATTTAAATCTTAATAAATTTAATTATTAATTAAATAATGCATTTATATTTTAGAACTGGACGATTTCTTGCAAGAATTAGATGAAGATGTTGAAGGTATGCAAAGTACAATATTATATTTACAACAAGAATTGAAAGCGACAAAAGAGCGTATACAATATTTAGAAAAAGAAAATTTTCAATTAAAAAATGGTATTAGTAATATCAATAATGATACCGTCATAACAAATAATTTAAATAATTTTAATACAAAAAATACAGTTGATAGTGGTGAAAAATCATTGCATTTAATAAATGGTCAAAAAGATGAAGAAGAAGAATCATGGAAAACATCTGTTATTTCAACAACATCAACATCTAGTGAAATAAATGATAAATTAAATGATGAACGAACTACAACAAATATAGATAAAAATAATACTAATTTTAATTTATATAATAAAAATAATAATAGTAGTTGTGATAATAACAATTTTAGTGATAATAACAAAATCCCCCCATCTCATTTAAATATTAATAATAATAATAAAAATAATTGCAACGATTCAATAAAAAATGAACAACAATCGCAACAACAACAACAGCAACAACAAACATTAACAAATGGCTCCATAAATAATATAGAAAATAATAATAATAACAGTAATAATAATAATAATAATAATAGTAATAATAGTAATGATAATCAAAATTTTGATTATGAACAGTGCAATGACAGTGTAGACAGTTCAATAAATAATAATAATAAAAATAATATTTTAACATCATCAACAACAAAATTTAATTCTAGAAAACGTAATTATGAAGATAGTGGTGATTCAAGCGATGAATCAAATAATTATAATGATAATATTCAACAACAACCCGAAAATTTATCGATGTCTAATAGTGGTAATAATAATATTAATAGTAATAATAATAATAGTAGCGGATTTGGTGCTGGTGGTGTATTTAATAGTAATAATAATCCAAAATTAAAATATAATAAGAGAATAAAAATAAAAAAATCAAGAAGATCTTCACAATTAACTGTTGAAATATGTGGAGAAGAGGATGGTATGAGTGGTGGAGGTGGTGGTGTTGGTATTGGTGGTAGTAGTGGAAGTGGGGTAGTTACAACAATATCATCAACAGTTAATACACCAACAATAACAACTCAAGTTACATCAACTAATTTAAGTGTTATAACATCAGTACCAGGAACAAATAATAATAATAATAACAATAATAGTAATATAAATCAAGATGAATTAAATAATAGCGATGGCGATGATGAAAATATTGATGGACAAACAATAATAACACGCCGTAAATCAGCTAGAAATCATCAGAATGGTGAATAAAATTTTATTTTAATATTAAATACAACAATTTTTTTTTTTATATATATATTAATAAATAATAATAATAATATATAAAATAATATAAAAAATTAAAAAAATCAAGAATTAATATTAATTTCATTTTTTTTTTTATTATTATTTTTTTTTTTTTATTATCATTATTTACAATTATTATAATTAATTTTTAAGCTTAACAAAATTTAATTAAATTTATTTAAAAAAAGAAAAAGTTATATAAATTATATACATAACAAATATGTATAACAAAAAAAAAAACAAAGAGAATTTATAAATAAATTTAATAAACTAAAGAATAAAGAGGAAATATTAGGAACAAGATAAGATTAAAGAAAAGAATAATATTAATTATTGCAAAAAAAAAAGGTAGATGAATTAGTAAGAAAAAACAAATTTAAGTATACATTTTGTTACAGAATTTTCAAGAGCATATGACAAAAATTAATTATAACAAAAAAAAAAACCAAAATCTGTAAACATTGTAACCTTAATATTAAAAATCATAATTTTTTTTTTTCTTTATTTTAAAATTTCTGGTAAAAATCTTTACAAAAAATGGAAAAAAAATAATAAATTTTATGTTTAAAATTATTTGTATTCTTTAATTAAAAAATATTTACCGAAATTATGTTTCAATGTTAATAAGAATTTAAACAAAAATCATAAAAGATCAACTTCTATTTTCAGTTCAATGAATAATCATGTAAAAAATTTTGAGTTCTTGTATATGTAATATTAAAATTTATTATATAAAAAAATTACCAATATTTATTTTTTTACTTTAAAAATGTCATATTTGTTTTTACCTATCCTAAAAAGTATGAAGGCTCTTTTAAAATACAAATATCAAATCAAATGTAAAAACAAATAGTTTTCACAAAAATTATTTTTGATATTGTGATTTATTGCGTCTTTGAATAGATCAATTAAATAAACTGAAATGGATTGTTTAATCAAGTTGCAAGTTGTTTGCAACTTATAAAAACTTTTAAAGTTAACAACCGTGTATCTCGATTTATTCACTTTTAAATAAGAATTCTAATTTTTTCTAATGGATATTTAATTTTTTCAATTGGATTTTTGCTTTTTTTTTTCTCAAATTATTGAGTTTCATGTAAAGTAAGACTTGTAAATACTCAGTATGTAAATTAAAACTTGTGTAAATTTTAGAAAAACCGAGATACGCAATACGGAAGATTTCCTATCACTCAAAAATTAAATTATACAAATATATGATATCTTCTTGTCACTTGGCGAGTAAAATAATGAGATATGCGATCACTTCCTATATATCAGCTAAAGAGATTTCAAACTTAAATTATTTTTATCACTAGGTTTTTTTCTTATTCCTTCAAATATTATACACCAATCTTATGTTCATGAGTCGACGGTGTGATTTATGATAGGCGGAGATGTACTTTTCCATCTCGTATTTTCATAAAATTGAATCCTACGGAATATGCTTAATGCAGTATTTTATATTATGTGTTAAGATTATAATAAGCTGTTAAAGCTAGACGAACAAACAAAAATTGTTTAAGCTTTACCCTTCTTTATTATACTTTCAATGGCCTTCGTATTCTGAGCAGAATTGAAAATTTGCTTTTACTTTGTGAATACCTGTATCTTATATGTATTTAAATATATATTAATTACAATTTTGCAATTTCATAATTTATTTCAGTTATTAATTTTAAAATATTTAACTGAAATATATTGAGTTTTGGGAACAGAAGTGAATTATATTTTTTGTTAAACTAAATACCAATATTGTTTTTGAAAATTCTTTTCACAGTTTCAAATTCAAAATTCATTAAAAATCTGAATAATTGAAGAATGTAATCAGCAATAAAATCAAAAATAAAAATTAAAAGAATTTACAAAGCGCGTTTTTCATAAAAAGTTTAACAAACAACAGAAAATTTTGTGTAATTTTGTGTAAAAAAAAAAAGAATTCACTTTATTTTTTAATATTTAATCTTTCTTTTGTTAAAAATTAAATTAATTACTTAAAACAAGTTATAAAAGATATGCAAACTTACTTCTCAACTTTGACTTACCTTACAAAAAAAATAATTTTACAGTTTCTAAAATAAAATTATTGCCAATTTTTAACATTTACAATTTAAATATTGTAATAAAATTACAATATTGTTCGGTAATTTTACACAGAGACAAAAACTTCAAATTTGACATCTTTCAATTTCTTATAGGAAATTTATAAGAGGGGAGGGGATAACGTATACCGTAAAATTATAAATTTGAGAAGTTAAGCTTATTTCAATTTTAATATTTGTGTTTAAAAATTTATTTTTTAAATTATTTTTGTTGCAAAACAAACAACAAATTATCGCAAAAATTAATTTAATAAATTTACATCGTCTTAATTAATATTTTAGTTTCACAAAACAAAAAAAAACAAATTTTCTAAATTTATTCGAGATTTAATTAAAAAAAAAATTATTGAGAACAAAATAAGAAATAAAAATTTTTAATTTTAATTCATACAAATTAAATGAAAAATATTAAAAAAAAAAACAAAAAAAAAAGAAAGAAAACAAAAAACCCACATATTATATGTTTAGAAATTACATACATAGAAAATAATATTGAAAAAGAAAAAATAATTTTGTACAAAATAAATAAAAAAAAATAAAACTAAAATAATTAAAAAAAAAAGGAAATAACAATTTTATGTTTTTACTAAATAAAAAAGAAAAAAAAATAACGTGTAAGGAACAAAAACAAAAAAAAATAAAATTAGAAAACAGTTAAATACTCCTTTTAATGTGTTTGAATTTAAAAAATAAAATAATAATTCAAAGATTATGTATAAATTGTAATAAAATTAATTTTCAAGCACTTTAAAAATAAAAAAAGAAATTAAAAACAAAAAAAGAATTAAAAGTAATAATATAAAATAAAATAAACGAGAAAACAAAGAAAAATAAAAAAAAAAAAATAAAAATAAAAGATTATATAGAAAATAATGAAAAAAAAAAAAGAATTGTTTAATTTTAAAATTTAAATTTAATTAAACACTTTGATTTCAGTCATAATACCGACAAATAATAATAGCAACCCTTCCTCTTACTTCTTACCAACTACATAAAATCCTAACCATACGACATTTTTGGTTCGAGAAATTTATGTCGTAATTCGAATTGTCGTTTGAGGAGAAGAAAAAAATGTATGAAAACAAAAAGTGAATTAGACAAACTATTTTATATTATAATTCAACTGTTTTTTTAAATAAAAAACGTAACAAAGTTTAAAAAAAAAACAACAAAATTTAATAACAAAACCAAAAAAATTGAAGTTTCAAACAAAAATAACTAAAATAAAATCTGATTAAGTTGACATGTGTATCACTTCAATTCATATTTTTAACTATTGACTAGTATTTTTAATTAGAAAGAGTTCATTATTGAAGTATGTGCCGTATGACTAAAATCTGTATAGATTTTTATTCAAAAATCAGAAAAATCTTTTAAAAAAAAAAATTAAAAAATCTCTCGTATTAGGTATTAATGTCGCAAGTCGAATAAAAATTGTTCAAATTTATATTATTTCGTAACTCGAAATATCAAAATTAGAAGATGGTCTCGAGAATTTAGTGTAAAAGATTTGCAATAGTCTTCCTTAATTTCCTGAATTTTCTTATAACCTGCAGAAAGTAGGTAGTTAAAGTACAATCAACTTAATAGATTTACAAAAATGCTTTGTAAAAAGTAGTTTAGTAATAGAAAATTCAATTTTGAATTTAATTTTAAATACAATCATTGAAATTATCACAATTAAAATAATGTACTTTTGGCTCCCGTCTAACTATGTTAAAGTACTATTTGTTGACAAATTGTATTTTTAAGCATTTGCTCATTAAAGCAGTATATTTTATATCATTTGCTTATTTAAGCAGTATGTATTAATTTAGTCAATAAACAAAGGTTGTTGTTACAGCCCAATTTGTTTATTCCACTTAGAACCTAAATAAAAGCGAAAATGTTACATTTAGAATTTAAATAACACTGAAAATGTGCTTTTTTATGTAGTAATATAATTAAAATTGCGCTTATTTCATGGACAGTTAGTGAATAACAAATTAAATTTTAAACTCTTGCAGCCAGTTGAACCATTTACATTTTACATTAATAACAACTAAATTATCAAAATCACTAAGGGATCCGATACTAATAAATTTTTACATTTTACTATAAAAATGAAACATTTCTCCTGAAAACCTTTTAAATTATTAAAACTACATACTTCTGTTCGTTTGTTTGGAAAACACTTTTATTTTAATTTAAATCATGTGATTTTAAAATGGAAATGAAAAAAATATAACAAAAATTTTAATATCAGATTTTAATAATCAAATTTATTTTTGCAATAAAATTAGTTAACTTTGGAGTACCATTTCGAAATATCACGCTATATATTCGAAAATATATTTAAAGTAAATTACTAAAAAAAATTAGAAAACTATTAAAAAAAAAGGGAAATGTGTAAAATTACTTCGTTTTCTAATGTAAAAGTATGTATGTAAGCAAAAAAGTGTATGCAATTTTATTATTATAATTTTCTTTTTCTTCTAGAATTAGAACAGAAAATACATACAAAATTAAATCTATTTTGCTTTAGCAAATCTCTCACTGACATCTTTCCAATTAACAATTTCGAAAATTGCTTCAACATATTTTGGTCTTACATTTTTATATTGCAAATAATAAGCGTGCTCCCAAACATCAATACCAAGTAATGGTACTAATCCTAAAATAAATAATTTTCAATAAGCGAATTGATTTAATAAACACAAAAAAAAAAAAATTACCAGTCGTAGCTTCGAGTGGATCTTGATTTGCACATGTTGCTAAATCTAATTTACCAGTTTTTTTATTATAACCCAACCATCCCCATCCTGAACCCTGAATAGCAACAGTAATTGTTGATAATTCTTTCTTAAATTTTTCAAAATCACCAAATCTATCATTGATTGCTTGTTTTAAATCAGCTGATGGTGTAGTTTTTTCACTTGTTAAATTCTTCCAAAAGATTGAATGATTCAAATGACCACCACCATTAAATCTGAGAGCGCCTTGTAAACTAATAATTTTATTAACATCCTGTTTTTGAACAGCATCACCTAATTGTTCTTCAGCAGCATTCAAATTTGTTACATAGGTTTGATGATGTTTTGAGTGATGTAACTAAAAATTAATAATTAAACTCTTTATTTTATTAACTTTTTAATAAAAATTACCTCCATTATTTCACGAGAGATGATAGGTTCCAAAGCACTATATTCATATGGAAGTTTTGGTAAATCATGTTTTCCGCGGCAACCAACAACAGCTGGAGCAACTGTTTGGAGTCTATATAATTAAATAAATACATCAAGAATAAGTTTTAGGAAATTGCATATTTGTATTTTAAAATAAATTATTGAATAAAATTATTGTTATAATTGTTTCTTCAAAGTAATTATTGACATTTTATTGCATTTTAGGAGTTTCTGAGTTTAGGACCTTGTAAATACTCTTAATTCTTTTATGTAATCAGCAAGGACGAGGTTGATAAATCAATAAATTTAATCTACCCGGCCGGTCATTTACAAAATTATTTATATATATCTTAAATGAATATTATTTAAATTACTTACCTGGTTAAATTCCTTGTCAATGCAAGCATTTTTGAAAAATTTAGTGCCAAATATAAAACTGGAATAGATAAGTATTAATCAAGATCTTTTCACTTGGCAGCTCAAAAGCGATGCAAAAACTTCACTCAATTTATGAAATGTCTACAACACGAAAAGTCTTGCCATAATTTCAAATTTATCTGCTACGACATATTTTTGAATTAATTATGTGAATCATCTTACAATTCTGCAAATAACTCAAATAGTCGAGAAGTGCTCAAGGTAATTGTGTTCAATTTCACACATACTATAAAATGCAAAAATAGAGATTGCTTGATATGTTCTTCATATCCGTCATGAAGAATGTGATGTTACTTTAAATGTTTTTATTTATAGTCTTTTAGGCTACGTAAAATTACTTCTGGTAACACTCTCTGTATGTGCTTTTACTTGATCAAAGTCCAGGAAAGAAATAAAATGAAAACCAAATGAAAACATTTGACTATCTTTGCTTTTCACACTTGAGTCTTGAGGGCTACGTCAAAGATTAAACAATAACTTGCATATATAATTAGATCAATATATTATAATAAAAGATCATTCCAAAATGCTTAAGAGTGCTGTATCACTTGTTACTGGTGGAGCATCTGGATTAGGAAGAGCAACAGGTTTAGTATATTTTTGAAATTTTCTTGGTTATTAAAGCACATTTAACAGAAATATATTTCATTATAAAGTTGAACGACTAGCTGCAGCCGGTTCAAAGGTTATTTTATGCGATCTAGGTTCATCTAAAGGCCATGAAGTATCAAAAGCTATTGGAGAAAATGTAGTTTTTGTTCCAACTGATGTTTCTTCAGAAAAAGGTAAATGTTAAGTTTTAGCAAAATTAAATTAGCCTTCCACCTCGTAAATGTATATTAACATTATACATTACAGACGTTACCACAGCTGTTGAAACAGCAAAATCTAAATTTGGAAAATTGGATTTAGCAGTTAATTGTGCTGGTACTGCAGTTGCATTTAAGACATATAATTTTAATAAAAATTTACCTCATAAGCTGGAAGATTTTACAAAAGTTTTAATGGTAAATACTGTTGGAACTTTTAATGTTATTCGTTTATCTGCCGGACTCATGGGCCAAAATGAACCAAATAAAGACGGGCAACGTGGTGTAATAATTAATACTGCATCTGTAGCAGCATTTGATGGACAAATTGGTCAGGCAGCTTATTCAGCTTCAAAAGCTGCTGTAGCTGGTATGACCTTACCAATTGCTAGAGATTTAAGTACACAAGGCATACGTGTTGTTACTATAGCACCTGGACTTTTTGATACACCGATGTTACAATCTTTACCGGAAAAAGTTCGTGCTTTTCTTGCTAAAACAATTCCTTTCCCTCAAAGACTTGGTGATCCATCTGAATATGCACATTTGGTTCAAGCTATTTATGAGAATCCATTAATTAATGGAGAAACAATTCGAATTGATGGTGCCTTAAGAATGATGCCTTAAAATGAATAAGAATATCTTTTTCAAATTGAGACACTTTTTATAATAGCTAGCGGGATATGTGTCTTTGCATTTATATTTTCTAAAAAAATTTTATAGTTGAAGAATGAGAGAATAAATTTTATACCTTTATCACGAAATTTCTCTGATTTTTATTTGCAAAGTACAAATTTAATTTTATTGCTCTAGTATACATTAAATTTGCATAAGAGAAAAAGGTCCTGGAAAAGGGTTTACAGAGCGATCTTCTAACCCTCTAATATTTTAACTAAGGAACAGGTGAGCCAGTGTATAAAATAATATTTCTCGGGTAGTGTAAAGTCACAATAAGTTACTTGAAAGTTTTTCATGCAAGAAAAACAAAATTTTTTAATTTAAAATTTAGATTAATTTAAAATAAAAATTTTATTATTAATCAATCGCAAATTAAATTCAAAGTTTTTTTTATATGTAATTAAATGAATTTCCTTTTACATATACATTATTTAAAAAAAAATAGGAAAATTAATATACATGTATGTAGGTACCTACTAATTTATAATTTGAATAAAAAATTAAAATTACATTTACAAATATTAAACTTTAATATAAAATTAATTAAGATATGGTGCTGAAATTAAAAACTCTACAACATTTTTTTAACAAATATTTATCATTTAATGTAATAAAATTATATCTCAAAGGATTTTTAAATTTAATTAATTTTATTTTTCCTTCCTGAGATTCCAATTTAAAATGTGCAATAATTTTCAACACATTTAGATTAATAATTTGGCACATCTAAAAAATTTGAAATGCAAAATGCACCAAATTACGACTTTTTTATAAAATTCTACAAAATTTCTGCCACAAGTTCTTAAACAAAAACTTCTTTTTCATTTTTTTTTTCTTTCCTATTTAAAAGCGAAAGTAATGCCATGAAATAAAAGAATAAAAATACTTAATAAAACAATAGTAAAAAAATGTATATGATATTCCAACATTTTAATGTCGGAAACCTTACTATCTTCTATAAAAATTGTAAGCTGCTGCTGATGCTTTAAAATTTCTATAATCTTTGTAAACTTCTCTTAGCTCTACTTTTAAAACCATTGGAATTTCTAATTGATCTATATAAGTTGGTCGTATTAGTTTTGCGATGGCCCACAATGAATTTTCTCTCAACGAACGTAATGGAAAATGTATATGAATCTGTTTACGTTTTGATTCTGGTATATTATTACTTAGATGTGAATCAGAAAAAAATGGTTTTGGCCAAAATACTTCTTTATTTTCAGCATGCATTCTTTCACCACTATTTGAATCACGGAATATCCATGGATGTGTTGAAAATGTATTTATGACTGTACGATCACCTGGTTCTAATTTCTTATATTGAACAAATCTACCTTGATAATCAACCCAATATACATTTACTTCACGTTCTGTTGTATTTACAAATAATAGAAATGCACTATGTATTGATTCCTTTGATCTCAAATTGGGATTGTATCTTTCCATATTTAAAAGCGCATGTTCAAGTGCATTTTTGAACCTATCCATCATTTTATGCTACGACAATCACGTACTCGGTGGCACAAAACAAACAAAATATAGGTTGAATATAAAAAGAAAACGCTTAAAAAAAAGGTATATATTAAAAAATTATACAGAATTTTTTTTTTTTTCTAATCAAACCCAGGTGAAAAAATTACCATATAACAAAACACAGCAGTCTAATATTTTTTCTTTACTTTTTTAATAAATTTCAATTCGCAATATTATTTAAATATTTTTTTTTTCTTTTCTAAAAAATTCTTATTTGCACTATTTTATTTTTCTTTTTTGTTCCAATAAAAACATCGGTTCGCTACAGTTTTTTTGACGTATAATTTGCTGAATACCAAAATATTTCAATTCGCCTTTGTCGTTTCAACATAGAAAATTCACAATTTTTTTGATATATCATTGTGAATGAAAATTTTTCAGTAATGTTAATAGAATGTCAACGAATATAAATGTTTATATACAAAATATTTAAAATTTTACTCTAATTAATAAATTTCGGAGAAATATTTCTAGTAAAAAAAAACATAATATTTCCTTCAGTTAATTCACAATCGGTTCAAGAAATTTAATAAACATATTCTATTAGATATTGTTTCAATAGTTTTCCATGCGTAGAATCAACATATTTTGTATACCTATGATAAGAAGTGTTATTTTTTTTCTATAAAATAATTAAATATCTTTTGTTCTTATTTTCATTGAGCCACAATAGATTGGCATAAAATAAATTTTGTTTAAAAGAATGACTCTGTGAGATCCACCTAAATGAGCTCAAAGTGCTTGTGTCAAAATGTTCTTGTACTTGTACATTTTAAATCAAGTAACCAAATGAGCCATACACCAACTGTATTAAAGTTTTTGATTTTGGCAATGCATAGGCACATGTATTTTTTCTAATGTCAAATTCATTTGCTTTCAATCAATAAATAAATATGAATTTAATATTTAACAATATAAACTTATAACAAATTTTTAACTATAAATGTCGGACAATACGATGTGTTCAATTCGTCTACAATATACGTATGTATATGCATACCTACATATCCTACACGCTACTCATTAAAGTGGATTATGATGAAATAAAATTTAAAAGAATGGATATACACATGTGTTGAAATATTAACATCAACTTAATGATATTGCCTATAGGGTAAATATATTTTTCGGCGAATTCAAACCATCAAATTTTCATAATAAAATGTCATTAAAGTCAAAAAAATATATGTAAATTTTTTATCCGCGGCCATTGCACATCTTTTTCTTTTTACTTTTTTCTACTTTTTAACAATTTGACATTCTTTATTTGTCATTATTAATAAAGATTTGGAAATATCTCTCGGTATACGTGTTTGTGCGTTGTGTTTAGTCGGATAAAATTAATTTCCTATTATAATTAAAAATTTTTTTTTTTATTTTAGTGCTTAAGAGTACATAAAATTAAGTTAAAATTAAAATAATTTAATAAATGCTTAAAGCAAAATTCATTTCATTTTAAGTGCTTTAAAAAATTATAAAATATAAGGAATAGGAGAAGAAAAAAAGCAAATTTATAACCATACAAGCATAAAATTAAAAAAAAAAAAAGAAGAGAAAAATTTTTTTTTGAGAAAAGCAAAAAAAAAAAAAACGAATCCACCATCAATAAAAAAAAAAAAATAAAAAACAAAAAAAAAGTCTGCCGCTCCCGCTGTGGAATTATTCGAGAATAATTTTTTTTTTGTTTTTCGTTCTTTTTTAAATGAAAAATAATTTTTTTAAATTAAAAAAATTATTGAAAATAAATTTTTATCATTAAAGAAGTGTAAAATTAAAATATAAATAAAATTTGGAAAAAAAAGGAGAAAAAAGAGAATTAAAAAAAAAGAGTGCTTGAATTTTTTTTTTTTTTTTTGTATTTGATTAAGAAAAAATAAAATTTTTCAATATAACAGAAGAATTCTATTCATTCAGAAAATAAAATCATGGAAGCTGTAGCTAAGCATGATTTCACAGCAACCGCTGATGATGAATTAAGTTTCCGTAAAGCAAATGTTTTGAAAGTAAGTAATTAATAATTGATTGATATTAATAAATCTGGTGAATTAATTGAAATTGAATTTTCAATTTTCTCATTTATAAATACGAGCTCATTACATAGTACATAACCTCTTTTATGCCTACCAATAAAAATCTTATTACTCATATAAAAATAGTTATGTATCTTTGACTATGCAACAAAAAAATGAATGAATAGTTTTGTTATATTAGACTATGTAGGTATATTTTCCTATATAAGGTACATAAAAATAATAATGAGTCATTAACTGGTTCACAGAAAGGTAATTATCCTTTCATTGATATTAAAATCAATTGTATACATACATAATGTATATGCCGTATTTATGATTATACCCAAGAATGTCTTGAATCTTAAAATTATAAAATAATTTTGTTAAAAATTTTGAAATGATCAGGACGAGAATGAATTCATTTATTTTTAGATAGGTTAGATAGTTAAGTACCCGTACTATCTACTTAATTTATTACCTACACATTAATATAAAAAAATAATTGAAAATATATTAAACTGTTATATTTAATGGCCCTAATAAAATCACCCTATTTTTTTAATGTATACAAAAATTTCCTTAATAATCATTTTAATTTTCTTATTTTGTGATAATTGAAAAAAAATATTTATACTTATATATTTGTAAGAATGTATGTTGTATATAAAAATATTTTTAAAATTTTTCAAGTTTTTATGAGAATTTTTTTTTTCTTTTTTTTTTGAAATATGTAAATAAAAAATAAAACAAAATTAACTTATCTAAAAATATCTTATTTGCATTAAAAAAAAAAAAAAAAAACAATAATTCAAATGTGCTCTCCTAGTCTCCTCAACTTCACAACTCTATTCAAATAAATTATAAAAGAAAAAAATAAAAACAAAAAAAAAATATTAGTACTAAAATATCGTGAGAGACGTGAATATTTTAAAAAAAATCAAAAAAAAATTTTTTGAGAATAAAAATACCCATTATCTGTCTCACTCCCGACAACACTCTTTCCCTATAATCATAAAATATAAATATACCATATTAATAATAACTTTAATATTATTATTAATTCAATATGATGTAGCCGGCGACTTGAACTCTCAAATAAAATACATACAAGCTAAATTTTTGTAGCTGAAAAGCCAAACGGCTTTAATAATATAATTTTTATATTATAAGAAATTTTTATATTTTATTTATTAATATTAGCGACGGCTAATATTAATTGTGGCGGCTTTAATATCTTTTTTATTTTTGTATGCAGCTGCTTATTTTTTTTAATATTCTTGCCCTATGAACAAAGAATTTTTTATTTATTTTTTTTTTGTTAGAGTAGACCACAATTTTGTTAAGAATTTTAGAATTTTTTTTTATCATTGAAATTTTAAGTTTTTATTAAAATTAAAATTTGAAAATTTTCACAAATAATTCGGAAATATTAAAAATTTATTTATTATAAAATGTTGAGAACCAAAAATGTGCATAATATGTTTGTAAATGTGTGCATGTACTTATCTATGGATCTATGAATGTGTGAAATAATGAATTTATCAATTATTTCTTTTTGTTTTTTTTTACAATAAGATACATATGTATTTATGTATGTACACCTCTATATATACATTTGTAAGAATACAGTACAAATGTACAATATATTTTACCTTTAGTATCCACAAAAAAAAAAATCAAAATTAGCTACCTGTTAGGTTTACCGCTTTCGAAAAAAAAAGGATCGAGTTTAATAACCTCTTATAGAGAATGTATATGATTGAAAATGTAAATATACTCGTAAATATGTATATAGTGATATAATATGTTCTTATATGCAATGTGTATAGAAGCACATAATGTTCTTACATATATATTTTTCATATAATAGCTGCTAGTGCTGACATAATATTACATATTTAATGATTAGAGAAAAAAAAATATCATGTGTATAAGGAGAGATAATAGCGGAAAGGAAAGAGAAAATATAAATTTTTTTATTAAATAAAAAAGAATTTTACATTAGTCTATTCTTATTTATTACATTACCATATTTTGTTTTTCAACCCATATTTATTTTAAATTAAATAAAAAGTGAAAGTATTAAATAAAATTCATGCAACATAATTACATATTTATTAATTGAGAATTAATGAGAGACACAAAATTTGTCGTCATAACACAAATTTGAGAATTTCTGTGCTTATTGCTTGTTTTACGTGATAGCTACCTTCATTATGTCTAAGAATGTGTAATAAAATAAGTATAACCCTCCTTTTTATACTTAATTAATTATTTACTGTTATTGAACTTTAAAAATTATAATTACTTTAAAAATATATTAAAAAAAAATTATTTTATTTTTTTTTAATTTGTTCACAAATAATATTAAAGAGAATTAATTGTACAGGTTATATGACATACGTACCAGTTATTATTACAATATTATTAAGTACATATTTATTTATTGCGATGTATGTAGGTATAGATAGGTTACCTACCAAAAGTATGTTTAAAAATTAATTCAACCTTATTTAATAAGGGTATGTTTTAGCAATTGACTATATTTTTTTACTTTGTTAATGTAAATGAACTTATTTTGTTAAGAGCAGGTGCTTTTTAAATAATGTGCATAAAAATTAATTAAACAAATATGAAAAAAAAATTCTTACTTTTATTAAAAATTTTTATAAAATTAAAATATAAATTGTTTTTGCAAAATATTGAATTAAGCTAAGCTGGAACACATGTGTATTAATTCTAGTTGAAATATAAATTCTTCAGTTGGAACAAATATTGTGTATGATAAGAATTGTATGATTTACTAAATGTTAGGATATTTAAATTTCTAAAGTTCCCACACAATATAATATTGAACTTAAATTTTGCCACAAAACAGGAATATCAAAAATTTCTATAAATTTTATCACATTCACAAAACGTCGAAAATTCAATAATATTATGTGACAAATAATAAATGCTGTTAAATACAGCTGATTTAGTAAAATTGACAACAAAAATAATTTCCATACAAAATACTGTTATAACAATAAAAAATGTTATTATTACAATAAAGCAGATCGTGTTTGAGCCCACACAAATTCTGTTTTTTTTTTTTTGATTTGTTTAATTTCTTAATATTTGATATCTTGTCAGTAGTTTGAACGATGAAAGTATTGTGATTTATAAAAAATTCCCATAAGTATATTTTTGTTAAATTCCCTTTTCAATTTTTTACATTTTATTTTTGTTCATTTAAATTCCCATTATGTATGGGGAAAAATCATTCAATATCGCAACCACTGACATTTTTTATACACATTTTATCAAATTGTAAATAGCTCCAGCAACAAAATCTAAGAAAATATTTGATAGTGTTAACCCTGATTTGAAAAAATTTTATAATATTAAACAAAAAAAAAAATGACCTTATTTTATTTGTGGTTTAGTAATTTTTATCATTTACTTATTGTATACAAGTATTTTAACTTTTAAAATTGAAGGAACCCTTATTATTTTTTTAAAATTTAAATGTTCTTTGTTTTTTTTATTTTCAATTCCAATATAGAGTACAATTTTGTGAAACAAATATTAATTCTGTTGAATATTAAGTATAAGCGATTGATTTATAACTTATTTAAAATTTATGTGGGTTAAATACAATATTTATATTTATGTCAGCTTCTGTATATCACTTATAATAGCATATATAAATATGTATATGTACATTTGAATTTTAAGTCACACATATGAGTGTAAACCACATCAAAGTTTTCTATACACAAGTTCGAATAATTTATTTATCATTTTTCATATACAACGCAAGTAGAATTTTTCATTTCAACTACAATACAAGTATAAATGAAATGATAAATCTAAACAGCCGGCCAAATTGAAATCATTGAAAAACATCATAGAAATTATAATGCAAAAAAAATAACAAAATATTAAAATAAGAGAAAAAATTTCAAAAAAAATTACTCTTAAGTAATATCTTTTGAAATTTTTTTCATTACGAATTTTATTTTTATAGTTTTATTTAAACTATTATGACGTTAGCACAACACTTTTTCGAAAATAAATGTTGTACGTAATAAATAAATTTATTCTTGAATTAAGAAAAATAAAATATTGTAAATTTTTGATCTCTTTTCTCTTAATTTTTGAATTTAAACTGATTATTTTCTTAAATATTTTTTAAATACACACAGTTACGCATATATTTTTAAAATACACTTATACCTCGTTATACGGTCACTTGATTTATAGTAGTTTCGCAGTTAGAATTTTGAAATTTCATTTTAATCATTTACATTAATGATTTTATAATTAGTCATTTTTCTCATAGACTTGTAAGTCAAGGTATTGATTAAATGTCAATGACAAAATAATGTCAAAAATGTCACCATTTTATATACTAGAATAAATAAATTTATATTAAGTACATGGAATTATATTAATATAACCATTCGATTTAGAGCATTTCATGATTCGATTTATCGAAACGAGCTTACAGTTTTTCTGGAACGTGTTATAGCCGTTATATGTGTATTAGCACCCTCTCGAGAAAAATTATTTGACTGTCATTTTTCATCCTATCTTTTCAATGTTATTTAATAATTCTTATAATTCAATATACTAACTACTATAATACTAACTACTATAATACTAATAAATTTATAACACCATATAGAGTACGTTAACAGTAACATAACAGTATAAATTTCCTCATTTTTTTTTCTGGAAATTGACATTTAAGTACTTTTGTATATAATAAGAATTTCACGTGCTTTTAAGTATGATTGATTTTAATTGATAAAAATACCAAGTAACTAAATAAATAAGTACTAAGACTCTTAAGTGAGTACCTACTGTAAACCTACTGTAAAGAATTTTGATAAAAATGATTTCGTATTAATTTCAGAAAAATTTTAATACAAATTGGATTAGATTATCGTTTTTTTGCTAAGTATAAGATTTGTATTTATATATGTACATATGAACTTACTCAC